AGTAGCGCTGGTCTATAAACACGCTAATGCTAGAAAATAGCTGTAGCGTCGTAGCAGTAGCGCTGGTACCCGCGCTACTGGTAGCACAAAAACAAGCGCTACTGGTAAGCTTTTCTCTAGTAGTGTTGGTTTATATTGGGTATGACTTGACTAGATCTCTTTTACCATGAATTACAATGTTTAGTCAGTCCTTGATCTTTAAAGGTGCTCTGCGTTTATGTTTTGCGGTCTCACAAAGGGCTAGCGAGATACCATTTTGTTATATCATGTTATGATTATTTTGAGAAAGTGTTGTCATCCGAGTTTTATTATTATGACTCGCTAGCTGATTATGCTATTGATATGAGTAATTGTGAGACCTATGTGTTATTGTGAGTATAGTTAGTTCATGATATTTGCTGAAACTTGAATACTGGCTTTTCATGTTTACAACAACAAGAGCAAACAGAGTTTGTAAAAGTTTTTCTTTATCACTTTCAGTTTATCAATTGAATTGCTTGAGGACAAGCAAAGGTTTAAGCTTGGGGGAGTTGATACGGCTCCAACGTATCTACTTTTCCAAACACTTTTGCCCTTGTTTTGGACTCTAACTTGCATCATTTGAATGAAACTAACCCGGACTTACACTGTTTTCAGTAGAACTGCCATGATGTTGTTTTATGTGTAGAAAAGAAAAGTTCTCGGAATGTCCTGGAAATCCACGGAGGCACTTTTCGGAATTAATAAGAATTTTTGGCGAAAGAATCAAGGCCAGGGGGCCCACGGGCTGTCCACGAGACAGGGGGGCGCCCCCCTAGGGCGCGCCCTCCTATCTTGTGGGTCCCTGGACCTCCTCCGACCTCAACTCCAACTCCATATATACCATCTCGGGGAGAAAAAAATCAAGGAGAAAGTTTCATCGCGTTTCACGACACAGAGCCGCCGCCAAGCCCTAATCTCTCTCAGGAAGGCTTATCTGGAGTCCGTTCGGGGCTCCGGAGAGGGGGATTCGTCGCCGTCGTCACCATCAACCATCCTCCATCACCAATTTCATGATGCTCACCGCCATGCGTGAGTAATTCCATCGTAGGCTTGTTGGACGGTGATGGGTTGGATGAGATTTACCATGTAATCAAGTTAGTTTTGTTAGGGTTTGATCCCTAGTATCCACTATGTTCTGAGATTGATGTTGCTATAACTTTGCTATGCTTAATGCTTGTCACTAGGGCCCGAGTGCCATGATTTCAGATCTGAACCTACTATGTTTTCATGAATATATGTGTGTTCTTGATCCTATCTTGCAAGTCTATAGTCACCTATTATGTGTTATGATCCGACAACCCCGAAGTGACAATAATCGGGATACTTCTCGGTGATGACCGTAGTTTGAGAAGTTCTTGTATTCACTATGTGTTAATGCTTTGGTCTGGTTCTCTATTAAAAGGAGGCCTTAATATCCCTTAGTTTCTGCTAGGACCCCGCTGCAACGGGAGGGTAGGACAAAAGATGTCATGCAAGTTCTTTTCCATAAGCACGTATGACTATTTACGGAATACATGCCTACATTACATTGATGAATTGGAGCTAGTTTTATATCACCCTATGTTATAACTATTGCATGAGGAATCGCATCCGGCATAATTATCCATCACTGATCCATTGCCTACGAGCTTTTCACATATTGTTCTTTGCTTATTTACTTTTCTGTTGCTACTGTTACAACTAATACAAAAACCCAAAAACATTTACCTTTACTGTTGCTACTGTTATCATTACTGTCATACCACTTTTGCTACTAAATACTTTGCTGCAGATACTAAGTTATCCAGGTGTGGTTGAATTGATAACTCAACTGCTAATACTCAAGAATATTCTTTGGCTCCCCTTGTGTCGAATCAATAAATTTGGGTTGTACTTCACCCTCGAAAGCTATTGCGATCCCCTACACTTGTGGGTTATCAGCGTTGCGAGCTAAGGTTCGCAAAATCGTCCAAGGCGAGGATAACACTCAATTATTTCATATGATTGCTAATGGGAAGCATCGTAAGAAGAGAATTTTCCAATTAGAACAAGATGAAGGAACGATAGTTGGTCAAGAAAACCTGAAAGTTTACATTACCAACTATTATAAGCAGTTGTTTGGACCTCCGAAAGAGAATTTTGTGTCTTTAGATGAGTCAAGGGTTGAAGATGTTCCTCAACTTGAGACTGACGAGAATGAGATTTTGACTGCTCCCTTTACGGAGAAAGAGGTGTTGGACGCCATCGCACAAATGGAAAATAATAAGGCTCCCGGACCGGATGGGTTTCCGGTGGAGTTTTATAAAAAGTGTTGGCACTTCATTAAGGGAGACCTATTGCCGATGTTTCATGAGTTTTTTAATGGACAGCTTCATTTGTTTAAGCTGAACTTTGGAAAGATAACTCTTCTTCCTAAGAAGACAGAGGCCGTTCGCATTGAGCAGTTCAGGCCTATATGTCTGCTTAATGTTAGTTTCAAAATCTTCACCAAGGTTGGGACGAACAGACTTACGCAGATTGCGCATTCGGTTGTGCAACCGTCCCAGACTGCTTTCATGCCAGATAGAAATATCCTAGAAGGGGTTGTCGTCTTGCATGAAATGCTCCATGAGATTCACTCAAAAAAACTAGATGGCGTTGTTTTTAAAGTGGATTTTGAAAAAGCATACGATAAAGTTAAATGGCCTTTCCTTCAACAGGATTTGCGTATGAAAGGATTTGACACGGCCTTGAGAAACCAAATTGAATCCTTTATGCAAAAAGGGAGTGTAGGGATTAAAGTGAATGACGATATAGGTCACTATTTCCAGACACACAAAAGGTTAAGGCAAGGAGATCCCATGTCACCGATCCTATTCAACATAGTGGTTGATATGCTGACTATTTTAATAGGACGGGCTAACGATGCGGGGCAGGTAGGTGGCCTTGTTCCGCATCTAGTTGATGGCGGTATCTCCATCCTTCAGTATGCTGATGATACTATCATCTTTATGGAGCATGACTTGGCGAAAGCGAGAAACATGAAGCTTGTGTTATGCTTATTTGAACAATTGTCCGGGCTCAAAATTAACTTCCACAAGAGCGAATTGTTCTGTTTTGGAAGAGCTAATGATGACCAGGAGGCATATAAACAATTGTTCGGATGTGAATTGGGCACGTTACCGTTCACATATTTAGGTATACCCATTCATCATCGTAAGCTGGCTAACAAAGAGTGGAAATGCATCGAGGATCGTTTTGAGAAGAAACTGAGCTGTTGGAAAGGGAAGCTCATGTCATATGGAGGGCGATTAATTTTGATTAATTCGGTCCTCACCAGTATGCCTGTGTTTCTCCTATCCTTTTTCGAGGTCCCGGTGGGTGTCAGGAAGAGGCTAGACTTCTATCGATCTCGTTTCTTTTGGCAGAGTGATGAGCTTAAACGAAAGTATAGGCTTGCTAAATGGGATATAATCTCTAGGCCGAAGGACCAAGGGGGTCTAGGTATTGAAAATCTGGATGTCAAAAATAGATGTCTCCTTAGTAAGTGGCTGTTTAAACTTTCGTCCGAGACGGAGGCTACTTGGGTTCAGATTTTGCGAAATAAGTATATTCATTTTAAACCTTGGCCCAGGTGACAGTGAGGCCGACTGACTCACCATTTTGGAAAGGCTTGATGAGAGTCAAGCCACTCTTTTTCAACAGGACAAGGTTCTTAGTCGGAAATGGAGCTAATACGAGGTTCTGGGAGGATATGTGGCTTGGGGAGACTCCCCTTGCACTTCAATATCCTACTTTGTACAATGTTGTTCAACGTAGAGAAGCTTACGTTGCAACCATTCTACAATCCACTCCCCTCAATATTAGTTTTTGGAGGACGCTAGTTGGAAATCGTTGGGAGGCCTGGCTTCATCTTGTAAGACGTTTGATGGTGTCCAGCTGTCTCAGCAACCAGATCAGTTGTATTGGAAACTAACTAAGAATGGCGTGTTCTCGGTCAAATCCATGTATCAGGACGTCATAAACTCTAGCATCATTCCTTCCTCGAGGCACGTTTGGAAAGTAAAGGTACCTTTGCGAATCAAAGTGTTTATGTGGTTCGTGCATAAACAAGTTATTTTGACTAATGATAATCTGGCAAAACGCAATTGGGTGGGTTCTGTTAGATGTAGTTTTTGTGACCATAATGAAACTATCAAACACCTCTTTCTTGATTGTCCGCTGGCTAAGATTCTATGGCGGTCGATTCATATTGCTTTTAATATTAATCCGCCTACTTCCATCAACATGTTATTTGGAACGTGGTTTGATGGGGTTGACTCCGATACAGCGAGGCACATTCGTGTTGGCGTTTGTGCTTTATTATGGGCAGTCTGGAACTGCAGAAATGATTTGGTTTTTAACTGATCAACGAACATTCACTTTTTGCAGGTTATCTTCAGGGCCACAGCGTTGATCAGCATATGGTCGCTACTCACTCCGACGGAGGCCAGGGAGCGTTTGGTTACTGCGTCTACCCAATGGGAGATGGTAGCTCGGGATATTTTCAACCGGTTTGGATGGCAGTCATGTAATAGGATAGGCATGTAGTGCTCCTATTTTTATTTGCCAGCCGGTTGTGGCTTTCTGTTTAGCTCTTATGAGCGTTTGTTTATTTAATACTTCGAGACTTGGAGACTTGTTGCTGGATATTTTTATTAATAATATGAGCCGTATGCATCTTTCTGATCTAGAGGCTGGGGTAAAACCCCTTTTCGAAAAAAACTAATTTGTTAAATATCTGTTTTAACTGGTAGTACTGTTTTACTACCACGTTGCTATTTCTCCCAAAGAAAACTCATTTGTAGGCGCCTAAAAAAGAATTATTCTACTCTCACACGGCCAACATATGTCCATGTTCTTTTCTCCCTACCTAGATAGTGTATCAGTCTCACACCCATCATCTATTGTAACTCTACTAGCAGTCCGTATAAGCTTCAGGCTTGGCCATGCAAGCAGGTAGACATTGACACACAAAATCACTAGAAGCTCTGATTCATCCGCTTCCGAAACCTAGTGATGAACATATCGGCCGCCTGATCGATCTCGTTCTCAATGTTGAACTCCAAACCTTCAGCCTCTCGGTTGTTCCTAATTACATCCATGACCGGTGGTTCATCGTTGTCGTCTTCATCACACACATCGAGTAGCACATCGTCATCATCTTCATTACCTTCGACCTCACCATCAACATCACACTCGTCGGTGTAACAAAAGTTGGTGTCATCGCCGTTGAAGATGGGGTGCAGTGTCCAGTCAGTGCAGCCACTGTCACCATCATTCTCTTGATCAAACAATGCATCACGAGTGTCTTCTCGACATTTCGCATCACGAGTGTCTTGTGACATTCCATCATGGCGCTCTTCTTCCGGTCGGCGGCAGCTGAGAGTATGTGGATCCTGTGGGAGAAGGCGCCGATGGTGGCGCTACTACGGCGGAGCGAGGCTTGGATGAGGAGCCTGGCCGCCAGGATGCTGGTCTTGCTCTTGCACATCGTGACAGCCTTCAGGAGCTCCGTTGCTTAGGCGATCTTCATCTTTGATCTTCAGAGGTGGTTAAACCGCCAGCCAAGGATAACAAGTAGGGAATGTGGTGGCACAGCGCTTGGCATGAGAAGATCACTAAGATGAGGCAAGATGTTTTAGGTTCATGGGCCTTCTCCTGATGCTCCAAGGGTATATTTATAGTCAGGAACTGGGCATCCAAGTGTGTGCAAAACTTTGCTCATGTCACAATCAACCTTTTCTAGTGCCTAAAGCATATGAAAGGAAACTTGGGAAATAAGCATATGAAAGGTAGATCTATAGAAAATAATTTGGCATGTGGAGTTAGCACTATGGGAATGTTGGGAGTGGAAAACAAAGCTAAAGAGGCATGAAAAGCTAGCAATGGGGAATGGAATGGAGAAAGTATTCCGACTATAGGCGTCACAGACACATGCCCAAGGTGTAGATTGGCTCTACACGATCCCGAGTTTCCAATATCTCTTTTAACTAAGTGGTAGCAGCTGAGCTGATGATGGTTTGCCGGAATGCCCGAAGGAAACCAAACCAAAGCGAGTGGCTTTTGTTCTTGGCAGTTTCCTCGTGCTTCATGACAGATTGTAAAGGTACGCGCTCACCGGAGAGTTCGCCGCTCGCCGATCCGTGTGCTTCTCACTTAGTTAAATCACAAAGGTTAAATAATTGTCTTCTCCGCTGCAGCTTCTTCTAATCCTTCTCATCCGTTCAAACGCAGAACCTACCACGCGATGGATGCGTGCATGGGTGGGTGTTTCAGCAGTCCTTTCTCATGGTGTCCATCGTGTGAAACTTGTGATGGCAACATCGAAGACACGGTGCGACACAAGTGGTTTCTTTTCCGGGAGAAAAGAAAAGGGTGGTGCACAAGGACTCCAACATTGGCACGAGTGCGTACGTGCATGACCCGTAGGCCTCGATCCGTACGTGACTACGTGGATGATCGCGGGCGGCTCCGAGAGAGTCCGAATCCTCATCGGGATGGGTCAGAGATTTAGTCCGAATTATGATAGGGGAATCTGGAATCTATTTTTGCTGGAGTCCGAGTACAACTGAGGAGTTACTCTTCCTCTGGGAGCGCAATCCGGAATCGGCAGACGAATCATCGCCCATATAAGCTCAGGAGCATATGCTTGCACGAACGCACTACCAAAGCAGGCGATCCATTGACGGGACGGGCGAGAGCTATTGTTCACCATCGAGGATTACAGGCGGAGAATATCAAGATAACAAGCGTATTCCATGGACGGACCGAGCGTCATCCAGCTTAAGTGTTACCCTCCTGCTACGCCGAAGGTGGAGGAAGAGGTTGAAGAGGAGGTGGACGAAGATGAAGATGGAGAAGAAGAGACGCTGAGTTCTGATGATGACGATGACGGAACCTACGAGGAGTTAAATACTGCAGCCATTATGACCACTTTCACGCAGAAGAGCCAAGAAAAAGGAGATGGCATGAAGATCGTGGTGGTCTACCGCCACACCCTCTTCTCGACGCCGTCGGACGGAGGCGAGCAGCTAGTGCGGGGAGACACGGAGGGGCACACGATTCGGTTCGTCGTTCCGCCTGCCCGCAACACTGCGAGGGCTCTGCGGTTGGTCGGCGCGTCGCTGTCCGCGATGGTATACCCCGGCCACCTCCGTGAAAGGCTCCGGGACCTATGGTCGAACTTGATCTTGTTGCCCGAGATGAAGCACCGCCTTGGGCGGCGAGCCGGAGTCGAGGTGCGCTTTGACGCGTTTAGCTTCCCGGAGGCTGACGACACCCCGGAGCGCAGGGAGAGCGTGTTCGCGGTGGCAGATGGCATGTCGAAGGAGCCGTGGCCCGAGTGCCAGTGCCATGGCGGAATGGAGTACCGCCTGCCCGAAACGGCGCCGATGCGGCGCATCGCGGAGAGCGAAGCAGCTGGGCTGGATTGCCCCGTCTGTTTGCACCTGCTCGAGGGAGACGATCTTGCTGCGTGGCCGGGATGCTCTAGGCCCCACGTCTTCCATGGTGCGTGCTTGAAGCTCGCGCTCAAGAAGATTGACAGGTGCCCCATCTGCAGGTGCTTCCTGCAAATCGAGCCCGAACCACTACCACTAGAGACCACTGAGGATAAGGAGGGCGACGGAGACGCGGCCTTGGCGATTGCCGCCGGCGGCAAGCCTAAAAGCGTTCGGCGGGATGTAGCTATAGCATTCTTGGGTCTCATTTTGTTTGTTTGTATGATGATGATAGGGTTAATCAGATTCATGATGCATTACGGGTGATATGATCCTAGTTAATTTTCCGGATTCGATGGGGTCGAGAGACTGGAACGAGGGTCGAAGATCGCTAGGTGCGTGGCTGTTTGATGTGTTTTGTGCTTTGTGCTAATCAGAAAAATTTAAGTTCTGATATGAATGGTTTTTCTTAAGTGCAGATTGTGCACGCCTATACTTGATAGGTACACGTACGCGCGTGTATGCACATGCACTAGTCAATCCTTGGATTAAGGATTAACTTTAACTGATACTAGGTGGTTTAATTTGGTCGCGGCGAAATTTTAAAGATTAATTTTAGAAGTATTATGTATGAAGAAAATGATCCAAATCAAGAGTTACTATGTGTAAATAAAGAGTATGCATGGGTTGCAAAATAGTGTTAGCAGATGTTGACATGGCACACTTAGTGAGGTGAAAGGCCCATATTAAGAGAATTAGAATCAGTGAAGATCAACTATCAAAAACATATATTTGCTTGCACTACATGGTCTGGGGTATAGCTTTACACATGCATGCTGGCTAATATTCTACACGTACATACAAGGTTTTGAGTTTCGGAATCAAAATAATTTCAGACAACATCAAAATATGCAAAATTTCGGAATTCACACATTTCAAATTTCACTTAATCTTAATAATCCTAATCCAATTTAAATTTATTTTGAATCTTTTTTGAAATTTCAGTGTTAAAAATATTTCGGAACTGACTGAAATAAGGAAACGCTTACTATCAACCGGCGGATCGCAGCAGCCGCGTCCGCCACCTTCCCTGGATGACACGCATCAAGTGAGGGCCTACATACCATTTTCATGCAACATGGGCTATGCTTCTGAAACATATGCGGTGTTGCAGTGGTCTACGACGGGTTTATGTTTTTACAACAAAACCTCGCGAAAATATCAGCAAAAAGACCTCATTTGAAAAAAAAATTACAACAAAACCTTAGTTGCAAAAACGTTGTTTGCAACAAAACAGTTGTTGCAAAAAAATCGTGCTACAAGACCCGTGTTGCAGAATAATTCTATAACAAGACCCGTGTTGCAATGGTGGAGGCGCGCTCGACCGGTCGATGCGGCAGATCTGACAGCTCGCGACCCGGCTGATCATTTAAAAATATCAGCCGGCTGATGCGTAGCACGCCCCCTGAAATATGCGTGATTTCAAAAATTTCACTGAAATTTCATTAAAAAAATTAACCCTGCATACATCTACTATTCTGAATGCCAAGTCTACATCTGTAACATGCAGGCAAGGTACCTGGCAGTATGTGTATGAGTACCCGCGTACTGGCCAGCCAGCACGTGTATACATACCCAAATACCCGTATACTAACCAGCTAAAATTAAATAAAATGGATGAACCTCCGAGATATGAGCACATGGAGGTGTCTTGTTTAGGCGGCATCGAAATTTCCATGAAGATCCACGTACAGCCAGTCAGGCATGTGAGATGACACAATATGATTCTATATTTTCCTTAGTTTTGCAAGATACGATTGAGCGAGATATTCTAGCTAGCGCACAAGATAAAACTTGTTAAATTGTTCCCGATCCTCTTGGCTAAGTAACGTCTACGCGTTGGGATAAGATCAATCGTCTTTAATTTGTTTGCAGGACAACGATCAGGGGGCTCACCGTCACCCAGCCTGCCATTCATTTCGTCGCGCCGGCCAGACCCCGCTGAAGACGAGGACGCGGTGCTCACCACCACGCTGCCGTCCGCCATCATGAAGACACCATGAAGGACGAGGAGCTCACTTGCTATGGCACCACCTGGTGAAGCACTCGAATGACGGGCGACACCGCAGCCGGTTGCGCCGCCGCCGCCGAGACTCCTCTGTCGCCCTCCCCTTCTCCCTCCCTGCAGGCCCCCTCGCCCGCGGCTCCGCCGCCGCTCCCCGCGCCGGCTGCCCCGGGCGCCTCCTTCCGGTGGGCCGATTGCACGGACGACGCCCCCTTCCCCCCTCCCCCC